ATATATAAAGTAAAGAGTATTGGCCCAAGCACTGAGCCCTGAGGAACTCCATGACTAACTTTGGTGTATGAAGAAGATTTATTATTTACATTTACAAACTGGAATCTATCAGATAGATATGATTTAAACCATTTTAGAGCTGTTCCTGTAATCCCAACATCATATTCAAGCCTCTGTAGTAAAATATTGTGATCAACTGTATCAAATGCAGCACTGAGGTCTAACAGGACCAGTATAGACACAAGTCCATTGTCTGAGGCCATGAGAATATCATTAGTGACTTTTACTAGTGCTGTTTCTGTGCTATGATGAGCTCTAAACCCTGACTGAAACTCTTCAAACAGATTATTTCTTTGTAGATGTTCACACAACTGACCTGCAACTATTTTCTCTAGAATTTTTGAGATGAAAGTTAGATTAGATATAGGTCTATAGTTGGCCAGAATTTCTGAATCAAGGTCAGACTTCTTAAGTAAAGGATTAATTACAGCAACCTTAAAGCTCTGTGGTACATAACCATCCATTAAAGACAAATTAAGTAGATCCAAAATGTGGACATTAATTAGGGGAAATACCTCTTTAAACAGTCTGGTTGGGATGGGATCTAGCAGACATGTGGATGGTTTGGATGAGGTTATTATTTTTGACAATTCAGAGCTCAACAGGACAAAAACTGTCCAAACATAAATCAGGCTCTAGTGAAAATTTTAAAGTTGCTTCATTGGACAGGGGACTAGAGATAGTAGAAGGAAGGATGGTTTGAATTTTCTCTCTAATTGAAATAATTTAATTTATAAAGAATCTCATGAAGTCATCACTACTTATAGTTGTAGGGATACATGGTTCAACAGAAATGGGACTTTTAATTAGTCTAGCAATAGTACTAAACAGAAACCTAGGGTTATTTTTATTCTCCTCTATTAAAGATGAGTAATATAAAGTTCTAGCTTTACGGAGAGCTTTTTTATATGTTAGCAGACTATCTTTCCAAGTTAAATAATATTCTTCAACATTAGTAGAGCGCCATTTTCTCTCCTGGTTTCTAGATGCTGCTTTAAAGTACGTAACTCAGAATTGAACCAAGGAGCCAGTTTCCTCTGATTAATTCCTTTCTTTTTCAGTGGAGCAATTTTATCAAGTGAAGTTTGCATTGAAGTTGTAAGATGATCAACTAGATGATCTAAGTCTCTGTTCTCTGATGCATTACTCTGCAAGACAGAGGAAAACATTGATGGAAGAGATTGTTTAAATTTGGTTACAGCATTTTCTGATAAGCACCTGCTGAGATGAAATTTACTCTCAGTGACTGTGTAGTCATTTAATGTAAACTCAAAGGTTATTAAAAAATGGTCGGACAGAACAGGATTTTGAGGAACTATTACCAAGTCCTTAATCTCTATACCATAGGTCAGAACTAAATCGAGTGTGATGACAAGAATGAGTAGATGTGCGGACGTTTTGGGTAAAACCAAACGAGTCTATTAAATTATTAAAGGCTATGCTTAAACTATCACTCTCAACATCCACATGAATATTGAAATCACCCATTATGATGATTTTATCAGTATTTAATAGTAAGTCGGTTAATAATTCTGAGAATTCAGACAAAACTGAGAGTAAGAACCTGGTGGACGATATATAACAACTAGTAAAAGTGGCTTTTCTGATTTCCATTTTGGATGAGAAAGACTGAGGGACAGCGATTCAAAAGAATCATAACTAATAACTGGTTTGGCATTAATCAATAATCCTGACTGAAAAATAGAAGCTACTCCTCCACCTCGGCCAGTTGTTCTAGGAACATGAAAATTTAAATAATTAACAGGAGTGGATTCATTTATACCAACAAAATCCTCCTGTTGTAGCCAAGTTTCTGTCAGACAGAATAAATCAATATGATGATCAGTTATCAGTTCATTAACTAACAGGGATTTAGAGGAAAGAGATCTAATGTTCATTAATCCACATTTAATGATTTTATGATTTTGCTCTGGTAAAGTAACTGTGTTTATTTTAATCAGATTTTTATGGTTTATATTTTTAGAGCTGATTTTTGGTTTATTTAATTGGAGCCGTGGGCGAGTTGACACTGTTTCAATGTGGGTGTGGGTGAGTAACAGAGGAGAAGCAGCAGAGAGGTGTGGAGGACTACAACTCTGCTTCCTGGACTGGACCCTGGGTTGTCAATAATTTGGGGGATAAACAAAATCAGCCATATTTCTAGAAAGAAGAGCAGCTCTGTCCAAAGTGGGATGGATGCCATCTCTCCGCATCAGACCAGGTTATCCCCAGAAAGAACTCCAGTTATCTATGTAGTCCACGTCGTTGTCAGAACACCACCTGGACACCCATCGGTTAAACCACGACATACGGCTAAACATGTCATCGCTGGTCAGGTTGGGGAGGAGGCCTGAGAAAACTACGGAGTCCGACATGGTTTTAGCAAAGTCACACACCGAAGCAACATTAATTTTAGTGACCTCCGATTGGCGTAACCGGGTGTCATTACTGCCGACGTGAATAACAGTCTTACTGTATTTAGCCTTAGCCTTAGTCAGCAGTTTCAGATAAGATTCTATGTCGCCCGCTCTGGCCCCCGGAATGCATTTGACTATGGCCGCTGGAGTCCCTAAAGCCACGTTTCAGACTATGGAGCTTCCAATAACCAGGGTCTGCTTCTCAGCGGGTGTGTCACTGAGCGAGAAAAATCTATTAGAAACATGAACGGGTTGGTGGTGAACTGGGGGCTTAGCCATAGCACTACGCTTGCTCCGGACCGTCACCCAGCCGGCCTGGGGTCCCGGCTGGTCTGGGTCTGCTGGAGGACTGCTAACGGGTGTGGTGTAACTGTTATACTGGATGTGATGTAACCGTTATATGGGAAATGACGTGAGCTGGAAGGAGGGCAGTTGTGTTTTGGACACTAAACAATAAAGACACGCTTAAAACTACAGAGGACTCACGCGTGTATTAAATAACATGACATGGTGTCAGAAGTCCTGTAACTTGCGTGGAGAGAAGAAGCGGAAGCCCTCTGACAAGGGTTTGCACATCAGCAAAAAAAAAAAAAGAAAGGAAGAAGGACAGAAATGAGTGACGGAGAAAACGCGAGCGGGGGCCGGCCACGCGCAGCCACACACATGCAAAGAGCTGCAGTGGGACCTGGGCCATGCGCCACGTTCAACATCCAGCCACCGGAGTCCTTCGACTTTTCACAGCCACAAGAGTGGGACACGTGGATCCGCAGATTTGAAAGATTTCGCAGGGCAAGTAACCTAAACGCAAGCTCTGATGAAAATCAAGTTAACACGCTGATTTACTGCATGGGCAACAAAGCGGACGATATTTTACTCGGGCTCGCTCTGTCTGATGATGAAAGAAACACCTATATGAGGGTACGTGACAGCTTTCAAAGCTTTTTCATCATAAAGAAAAATGTTATATATGAGCGAGCTAAGTTCAACGAACGCAAGCAGAGTGAAGGAGAGTCTGTGGACTCGTTTGTGACTGCTTTATATGTGCTGGCCAAACACTGTAACTACGGGCTGCTGCACCATGAGCTGATTAGAGACAGACTCGTGGTCGGACTGCTGGACAAAGGGCTGTCTGAATGCATGCAGATGGATGCATAACTTACCCTAGATAAAGCAGTGAGAATGGCACGTCAAAGCGAGGAGGTGAAAAGGCAACTAGTTTCATTATGAGGAGACTTCAGAACACAGTCAGGCAGTGCTACGTCTGTGGACAGAGTCAGAGTGCTCAGGAAGAGTAAGCCTGCTAAAAATGTTCCTCAAAATGCTTTTAAATCATCCAATGTGCAGTACAGCAAAGGAAAAACGTCACAGTGTCAGAAATGTGGCAGTTCTCCATCGCACCCCAAAAATGATTGTCCTGCAAATGAAAGTAAATGTCATACCTGTGGCAGAAAAGGACATTATAGTCGTGTGTGCAGGGCACCTAAGTCTGTGCATGAGGTTGAGGAAGACACTTTCTTTCTCGGCAGCATCACAACAGATGGTGATCCTTAGATGGTCCATGTCGACATACACGACAACAATGTGATGTTTAAAATCGACACAGGTGCTGACGTCACAGTCCTGCCATACACCGTGTTCCAGGACATCTGTAAAGATAAACCCACCAAGCTCCACAAGGCATCAAAGCCACTCCTAGGACCAGGGAGGAGTCCACTCGACGTCGTGGGCGTCGCCAACCTGACGTTAAAGAGAGGTGGGAAAGAGGAGATGGAGGACGTATATGTTGTTCGTCATCTGCAAACTGCATTATTGGGAAGACCAGCGATCTGTAAGCTAGGACTAGTCGCACGCCTGGACAATGTTACGATAAAGACATTAAAGGAAACCTACCCAAAAATATGCAGCGGACTGGGCGAAGTGCACCAGCCGTACGCCATAAAGCTTAAACCAGGGGCTCAACCATTCTCACTTAAAGCACCAAGGAGGATCCCATTGCCACTGATGGACAAAGTCAAGCAAGAACTGTCCCGCATGGAAAACCTCGGGGTGATCTGCAGAGTTGAAGAGCCTACAGACTGGTGTGCTGGCATAGTGGTGGTGCCCAAAAAGACAGGAGACGTGCGTATATGTGTTGATCTCACCAAGTTGGACGAGTCGGTGTGTCGTGAGAAGTTTATCCTGCCATCAGTGGAGGAAACACTGGGCATGTTGGCTGGAGCAACAATTTTCAGCAAGCTGGATGCAAATATGGGGTTTTGGCAAATTCCCCTGTCTGAAGATTCAGAAAAACTAACGACATTCATCACACCCTTTGGGCGTTACTTCTTCAAGCGACTACCATTTGGCATAGCATCTGCTCCTGAACACTTTCATAACAGAATGGTGACGGAGGTTACCGAGGGCCTCGAGGGAGTAGTGTGCCATATTGATGATGTGCTGGTGTGGGGACGTACTCAAGAGGAGCACGACGCTCGCCTGCACGTGGTGCTGGAGAAGATCTAAAAAGCAGGTATCACACTAAATATGGCAAAGTGTGACTTGTCAAAGCCTGAGGTGAACTTCTTGGGTCATGTGATCTCCGCCAGCGGCATCAGCCCCGACCCAGGAAAGACTGAGGCTGTGAAAAAGATGAAAGAGCCGTCAACGGTGAGTGAATTAAGATCCTTTCTTGGAATGGTAAACCAGCTGGGCAAGTTTATCCCACAGCTGGCTGAGAGAGACAAACCCCTGCGAGATCTCTTATTGAAAAAGAACTGCTGGACGTGGGGTGTCGATCAGATTAAAGCCTTTCAAGATCTAAAAGATGCGCTGACATCACCACCGGTACTAGCCATGTATGATCCCAGCAAAGGATGCAAGGTCTCAGCTGATGCATCATCATACGGGCTAAGAGGAGTACTTCTACAAAAATGGGACGAGGAGTGGAGACCTATAGCCTACGTGTCGCGGTCTCTCACACCAACCGAGCAGAGATACGCACAAGTGGAAAAAGAGGCATTGGGACTGACCTGGGCCTGTGAGAGGTTCCGCAACTTCCTGATAGGACAACATTTCCATCTGGAAACGGATCACAAACCTCTCGTGAGTCTCCTGGGGTCTCAAGCATTGGATGCTCTACCTCCTCGAATCCAACGTTTCAGAATGTGTTTGATGCGCTATTCCTACTTCAAATTCCATGTGGCCAGTAAAAGTCTGTGGAGTGCAGATATGCTGTCACGAGCACCAATACAGAGGAGTGAAGCACCGGCTGGCAAAGAGCTGTTGGAAGACACTAACATCTACATAGACATGATAATGGAAAACCTACCTGCGAGCACTACCTATCTGGAGGAGCTGAGGGACCAGCTGCAGAGGGACAGTGTGTGTGCATGTGTAATGCAGCTGTGTGCTGAAGGTTGGTCAGCTTACAACACAAAAGAACATTCACTCAGGTCATACTGGACCGAATGAGCTTTCCTTACAGTCCAAGATGGTCTGCTACTAAAGGGACAAAGACTCGTTATACCCTCAACAATGAGAAATGATGTTCTCAACAAGCTGCATGAAGGACACCAAGGTGTGGTCAAGTGTAGAGAGCGGGCACGGCAATCAGTATGGTGGCCTGGACTCAGCCAGCAGCTTAATGAGTTGGTTCTCAACTGCAGAGCATGCTGCCAAGAGAGACAGAACCACAGGGAGCCGCTGATGCCGACACTGTATCCAGGGAGACCATGGCAAAAGTGTGGAGCGGACTTGTTCATGCTAGGAAGCAAGACTTACCTTCTAGTGGTGGACTACTCATCTAGGTATGTGGAAATTGTGTTGCTGACCCCCACAAGGGCTAACGATGTGATAATCCACCTGAAATCTATTTTTGCACGTCATGGGATTTGTGAGACCCTAGTGACTGATAACGGGCCACAGTTCTCTGGAGCAGCCTTTGCACAGTTTGCAGAGTCTTATGGGTTCCAGCATGTGTCTAGCAGCCCAAAATACCCTCAGGGTAACGCAGAATCTGAGCGTGCAGTGCAGACGATGAAGGGGTTCTTGAAGAAGTCAGATGATCCCTACCTCGCCCTGCTTGCTTATAGGGCCACCCCACTTCAAAATGGGTACAGCCCAGCTCAACTTTTAATGGGAAGGAGGCTTCGTACTACTGTGCCTATTCTTCCTGCACTGCTAAATCCAGCTCTTCCTGATGGAGAGGTTGTAATGCAGAAAGAAAAGGAGAAGAGGATGAAAGATGTTCAACGCTACAATCTTCGGCACAGGACACAGAGTCTCAGTGGACTAATATCTGGACAGGACGTGTGGATCACAGACCAAAAAGCAGCTGGAGCTG